ATGGTAAATAGCTGAGGCCGGGGCACTGATCCTTGTGGCACTCCACTTGTCATCTCCTGCCAATTCGAGAATGATCCGTTTATCACTACTCTCTGCCTTCTACCCGATAGCCACTCTTCTATCCATGGTAATATTTTCCCATTAATCCCGTGGGCCTTGATCTTGAGTAACAGCCTTTTGTGTGGCACCTTGTCAAATGCCTTCCTAAAATCCAAATATACCACATCTACTGGTTCCCCCTTATCCAACCTCCTGGATACATCCTCAAAAAATTCTAAAAGGTTAGTCAAGCATGACTTCCCTTTTGTAAAGCCATGTTGACTCTGCCTAATCTTTTTATGGTCTTCCAGGTATCCCATAACTACGTCTTTTATTAAGGACTCAAGAATTTTCCCTACAACTGACGTCAAACTAACTGGTCTATAGTTTTCCCTATTTTCTCTCCCACCCTTCTTAAATAGTGGAGTTACGTTTGCAATCTTCCAATCAATGGGAACTTTTCCAGTATCCACAGACTTTTGGAAGATTATAGACATGCCATCCACTATCTCAGTAGCCACCTCCTTTAAAACTCTCGGATGCAGGCCATCCGGTCCAGGGGATTTATCGGTTTTAAGACCCGACAATTTACCTAGAACCATCTCTTTACTAATGTTAATCTCCCTAAGTTGCTCGCTAACATTGTCTTCTTGGTCCTCTATTTTTGGTATGTTTCCAGTGTCTTCTACGGTGAAGACTGTAGAAAAATACTTGTTTAATGACTCTGCCATGTCTTTGTCCCCTATTATAATTCCTCCGGTCTCTGCCTGTAATGGACCCACATTCACCCTCGCTAGCCTTTTCCTCTTTATATATTTGTAAAAACTCTTGGAGTCTGTTTTTATGTTCTTTGCTAGTTTGCCCTCGTAATCTATTTTCTCCCTCTTGATCAATTTTTTGGTCCTCCTCTGTTGTTCCCTAAAGTTCTCCCAATCCTCGGGTTTACTACTCATCTTCGCTGTTTTATAGGCTTTTTCTTTTGATTTGATACTTTCCCTAACTGCTCTAGTTAGCCATGGCTGCACCACCTTTCCCATGGCATTCTTATTCCTCAAAGGAATATGTGCTCGTTGGGAATTTTGCACTATCTCCTTGAATGTCTGCCATTGCTGGTCTACCGTCAAATCTTTAAGTTTAGTCTCCCAGTTTATTCTGGCTAAATCCTCTCTCATACCAGCAAAGTTGGCTCGATTTAAATTGAAGACTTTTGCTTCAGACTTAACTACTTCCCTCTCTAACTTAACGCTAAATTCCATCATATTATGATCGCTTTGCCCTAGAGGAGCCTTAAGTTCCAGTTTGCTGATCAGCCCTGTTTCATTACACAAAACAAGGTCTAATATGGCTTGTTCCCTGGTCGGCTCCTCAGCATATTGATCTAGAAAATTATCTCTAATACATTCTATAAACTCCTCTTCTATGTTACCTTTCCCAATTTGGTTGTCCCAGTCTATGTGCAGGTTAAAATCACCCACAATTAGTGTCTTTCCTTTGCTACATGCTCCACTAATCTCTTGATTTATACCTTGAGCGATACTTTGACCACTGTTTGGGGGTCTATAAACTACTCCCACTATAGTTTTCTGCCCCTTGAAGTTACGTATCTCTACCCATACTGACTCTACATCTTGCTTTTCAGATTTAAAATCTTTCCTCTCTACTGTTTTTATCCCATCCTCTATTAGCAGGGCCACTCCCCCTCCTCGTTTACCACATCGCCTATCTTTCCTATATACCACGTAGCCGGGAATATTCAGTTCCCATCCCTGATCACCGCAGTTTGTCTCTATTTGTGCAACTAATTCATCTATCTTGTTACGAATGCTTTGTGCATTCAGATACAGTGTCCTTAATTCTGACTTCCGGCTATTAACCCTATTCACCATCACTGTACTCCTTTCCCGGCTTGACACACTTTGCTCTTCTCCTTTGTTAATCTGCTCTCTTGCTTTTGTTGATCTCAAGTTTAACTGTGGTGGACTATACTTTACTATGTTTTTACCTCCCCCACCCCCCTTAATAGTTTAAAGCCCTTTCTACCTCCCTATTTATTCGCATAGCCAGGACATTTGTCCCAGCCCTATTTAGGTGGAGCCCATTCCTTTGGAAAAGCTCCCATCTTCCCCAATACTCGTGCCAGTGGCCCATGAATTGGAATTCCTGCTCTCTGCACCACTCTTTTAGCCAGGCATTCAGATCTATGATTTTCTTTTGCCTGTACCAATTAGCTCCTGGCTCAGGTAACAGTCCCGATATCATCACTTTGGAAGTTTTATTCCTTAGTTTAATTCCCAATTCCCGGAACTCGCTCCTTAACTCGTCCCTACTGGTCCTACCAATGTCATTGGTCCCTATATGTACCATTACGATTGGATCCTCTCCCTCATGCCTCAAATTTATCTCCAGCCCAGCGGTGCCATCCTTCACCCCGGCCCCAGGAAGACAACAGAGTTTTCTTGTCTCCCTGCTATGGCGACAGAAAACTGTATCAGTCCTCCCGACTGTCTCATCCCCAATAAGAATTACATTTTTAACCTCCTGCACAGGGGCGTTGGGGTCAGTTTGCTGTATATAAGGCGCGTGTGTGGATATACAGTACATAAGGCGCTTGTGCGTGGATATACTGTATATAAGGTGTATGTGCATGTACTGTATATAAGGCGTGTGCATATACTGTATATAAGGTGCGTGTGTGGATGTACTGTATATAAGGCGGTGTGTGGATGTACTATATATAAGGCAGGTGTGTATATACTGTATATAAGGTGTGTGTTGTGTGCATATACTGTATATAAGGTGTGTGTGTACTGTATATAAGTTGGGTGTATATACACTGTATATAAGGTGCACATGTATATGTATATGAGGTGCGTGTGTATATACGGTGTTTATATACTGTACATAAGGTGTGTGTGTGGGCCCCAAGCCTTGGCTCTTGTCAACCTGCGCCTAATATGTTCCGGAATTAAGTAAGCGGGATGTGTCCCTCCGGGGAGAGAGTCCAACAGTCTATCTATGGGTTTCCATGTGTAGATGGGATACATGGAAATCTCAGAAACTCTTAAGCACAGTGATGGGTTTCCACATGTGTCAGACACCCGTCTGAGCAAAAAAAATGTGTGTGTCTGGAGGGAGGGGAGTTGTGAATAATGTGGGTGTATTTGAGGGATTGTATAGAGGGTGAGGGTTTTATAAGGGAGAGGGGGTTTTAAGGGGTGTATGTGTCGGGGGTGTTGTGTACACAAGTTGTGTATTATAAGGTGTGCGCGCATATATAAGGTGTGTGTATATATAAGGGTATGTGTATAAGGTACGTGTGTGGGGTGGGGGGATTTATGTATAAGGGGTGTGATGGGGTGTTTGTATATAAGTTGTGTATTTTTATGAGGGATATGTGTGTATAAGGTGTGTATGGTGGAGTTGTGTATATATAAGGGGGGAGAGGAGCTGACACTTGCTCTCAGCTCTCAATGTTGTCTGCAGTGCCTATGACTACATCATCCCACCTCAAGATAAAGCCATTGTGAAGACTGACATCCAGATTGCACTCCCTCCTGGCTGCTACGGCAGAGTGGGTGAGTACTGGCGTAAAAAGCAATCCCGATGTTAAACCAGTTTCCACAAGTTTACACCTTTTGCCATTATTACTAACAGCTGAATTCAGTTTATTTGTTTTTGCTCGCCTCCTCCTTCCCCATTGCGCCTGAAGACTTTTCTCTTCGACCGTGCTTATGGTCATTCCTCCAGCTTGGTGTCGTGCTCTGGCACTATCAAGCGCTATGAGACGTACCCTGCATGAGGGGCACTATATAAATGCAAGTTGTTGTTTTAAATATTGTTTATGCACTTAATAAATTCCAGAAATTGTCACCATGTGAACGTATTGTATTCTGTTGTACATTTTCTGTTGTGCCAATCCCATCTGAATGTTTTATGATAGATACTTTTTTTTAAAGTTTATTTTAATATTGCTCTTAATAATTATCTAATAGGAAAATTGCTCTGTCGTGGATATATATAGAACCTACAGGGAAGAAATTCACCCAAGTCTAGATTTTCTGACATTTTAGAGTTGGTTTTCTGCAAGTTCTTAAGAATTACAGAAAACTGGCTTCAACATTAAGACTGAATTCAACAAGTCACCAAATTCTCAGAAAAGCTATAGAATAAATCTAGACCTAGGTAAAATTCCTCTCTTTTGTGAAATCATACTGAAAAGACTATTTTTGTTTATATAACGCCATTCAAGGGAAGATAATGATTGCAGCAATGCCCCATGTTTCACTGGTGTTTCTTGTTTTTCTTTTCCAGCACCAAGATCGGGTTTGGCATCAAAATACTTCATTGACGTTGGAGGTAAAAACATGTTTGCTACTGTATTTATGAGATTGCTAGTGACATGAAAATAGGATCTTAGGTTTATAAATAGAGCCATAGAATATAAGGCAAAAGAGGTGATGCTTAATCTGTATGTGATAAGACACTATACCAAATGTAAGGATTATTGTTATTATAAATCATTAGTTAGATCACTTTTATAGGAGTATCCAATTTTGGTCACCCACTTTAGGAAGGGCTATAGAGAGGGTGAGGGGAGATTTACTTGGATGATATCCGGGATGGGGTTTGACCTACGGGCGGAGACTGGGCCTGTTTTCATTAGAACAGAGGAGGTTGAGGGGAACCTAATTGAGCACTTTAAAATGACGAGGGCTTTGATACTCAATGAGGAGAATTTCCATTAGTTGTGACTAGAGGATAATTGCTGTGTACAAATTTGCTGTGAGTTCGTTCACAAAATGCAGTCACTACACTTCACAGGATATACTGTAAAGTGCTTTCCCAACTTGAAAAGTATTGTACGAAATGTGAGATGAAGGGGAAGATTAAGCAAATTTGTACACAGAGTTTTCACTGTGCTTTCAGTCATCTTCCCTGGCTCCCCCCACTCACCCCGGCTCTGATGCCCAGCCAGGGTGTAATGTGTTTGAGATGATGTAAATGTAATTGTATTGTTGACACATACATGATAGGTTGACTGATATATATTTGATAGAACGCCTTATCAAAGCATTTTGCAGGTTTTAACACGGCAGCCAGTTTGCACATAGCAATATCTCATAAACAGCCTTGAAAGTGAATGACTAATATTTTCTGGAGGTTTGTTTGCCCAACACACCATGAGAAACTCCCTTGACTTTTTGAATGGATCTTTACTAATAATAATAATCCTTGTATTGAGTAAAGTGGAGTGACTTTGTATTTTACTGTCTATCAGAACAGACACAGATTTAGCTTGAATCTGAACTATGCTATGTATGGTTCTTTGGAACTATAGTGTGTATAGATATATATATATAAATCTTAATATTTCCTGAGGCTGAAAATATATTTGACTTCTACGAATCCTATGTTCCTGTTTAAAAAAAATGCTGACACCTACTTCACATGAAGTTAATGCATGTATACAGTAGTCGCCATTTTATTTAGTGTTAAAACCATATCAGGATGTCGGTTGTATTTTATATTCACTTCCTGGCTATATTTCTGTATTTAGTGAAATAAACTACATTTGGGAGTTTCTCTGATGTTTCAATAGTCACCTGGTAGTGCTCTCGCTCCAAGGCAGAAGTTTGTGGGTTCAGGCCCAATGTTGGGAATTGAATTGCTAGTCTAGGCTGACACTCCAGTGCAGTGTCACACAACGTTTATTGTTGAAAGTACTGTCCTTCTGTTGAGACATTAAACTAAGGTCCTTTGGCATTGGTAGATGTTAAATATCCCATGACACTATTCAAAAAGGGAGGGAGGGTAGTTATTTCTAGTGTCCTGACTGACAATCCTCCAGATAAAATTCTTAATTTATTGCATGGTTATTTGCATACGAGGTAAATCCTGTGAAGCTCAGTTTTATGATGTAATATCCAAGGTAACTTATTATTAATATTATAAATCTATGATTCTATGATAATGGAATGCTGAGCCAGATTGGTCTGCCAGTCCCTGGCCTGGCCTGGCCTGGCCTGGCCTGCCCTGCCCTGGCCTGCCCTGGCCTGCCCTGGCCTGCCCTGCCCTGGCCTGGCCTGGCCTGCCCTGCCCTGGCCTGCCCTGGCCTGCCCTGGCCTGGCCTGCCCTGGCCTGGCCTGGCCTGGCCTGGCCTGGCCTGCCCTGCCCTGCCCTGCCCTGCCCTGCCCTGCCCTGCCCTGGCCTGGCCTGCCCTGCCCTGCCCTGGCCTGCCCTGCCCTGGCCTGGCCTGGGTCAGCGAGAGCAGCGGTGGGTGTGCTATTTACCTGGTTAGAAAAGGCAGGAATTCCACTCCTGATTGCTGTCCAATGGAGTGTAGTCATCAACAACAACTTTATACAGTGGCCAAGCTTCACGCTGAGCCAAGAAGAGAATGTGGTTTGGCTACGATGTTCTCTGAGGTGAATACTGTGTACCATTAGCTGCCCAGACTCACATGTAATGAACATCAGTGAGCTGCCAGCACCATGGGACGAGCTGAGCCACGAGGAGAGCTGCTGTGGGCAGAGGGGAGAGTTGTTTACAGCTCTTTTGGAAATTGCATTTCAGAATCTTTTTACTATACATGTTTGCATAGCTGCTTGTTTGCTGAAATAAACTAGTTTCTGGTGATGGATGCATGCGTCAGTTGATATGTGCTTGACAAACGTCAACTCATTGATGGCGTGAGGTCTTGCTGGGCTTTTGGATATAAGTGGCATTTATAGGTAATGAAAATGTTATGATACTGGGAGGTGGGAATAATACATGTGGGAGTTCTGTAACTTTGTACCTTGCACAGAACGTGCAGTTCTAGATTATTTATGGAGTTCTGTGCTAGAACCTTTCCTGTTCTTAGTATTCATAAATAATCTAGAATTACAAGATACTTAAATTAGCAGCTGGCTCCACGTAAGACGTTGATGGCTGAAGGCAATTGGGGGGAGGCTGCCAAAACTTTAATCATGGTATGCACCTGATTAATGTAAATCGAGTTCAGTACAGATGAATGAAAGATGTATGTAGGATATAAGTGTACTTCAGCAAGGCAGGGGAAGAAATTAAGTTATTAATTGACTCTTTGTTCACCATCTCCAAACAGGGTAAGATATGAATAAACAAGGCAAACAGGATCCTGGACTACATTGCTAACTTGATTCAGGTTCAATCTATCCCCCAAAGTCATGCTCATGTTGTATAGTTCTCTGGTCATTTTGAGTTAAGCCGGGTGGTGGCGCAATAGTTCTTTCTAACTCTGGTTCAGTTTTGAGGGAGGAATGTTTCAAAGAAATTCTGCCTCTGGAAATCAGCAAGCTTTTAAAGGGCTGTACCTGCTCCTAGACATAGGTACTGCTTTTTCACTGAATAAGAAGTGGTAGCTTGACTGAAGCAAACTTTTGTTGTTTTGTCTGAATTAGTTATCCAACTGGCTGGAGTCTGTTGTCAATGATTCAGAATTTGACTCCTCACATTGCCTCCCTTGTTTCTTCCCTGTTCCTCTGCCTTCCTTCCACCCCCACTGATTGACAGCCCAACTCCAGCCACTTGTGAACGGCTGGAGATGATGTGAATCGTAATCTTAGTCCACCCAGTTCACCTGGAGCGAGTGAGTATATTCAGTGGTGACAAGTGTGTCATTTTGTCCGGATTATCCGTATTGTTGTATGAATTAACCGTTATATTTAAAATGGGTAAGGATACAAATGAAATGGGGCTGGGCATTTTGTCCTGGCATCTGAGGTTAACCAGCGTCCAGTTGAAGCTGCTTCCACTGTATTAAAATTTGTAGATTCCCACTTTGTTACAGGGCATTGTATCTGGGGAGATGAGTGTTTTTTCAGGAGATAGATAAATAAAGTAAAATATCTTTCACTTTTACAGCTGGTGTTATTGATGAAGATTACAGAGGAAATGTTGGTGTGGTTCTCTTCAACTTCAGCAAAGAAACCTTTGAAGGTAAACGATAATTGGATCTATCATCAAAAGGCAAAATACTGCAGATGCTGGAAATCTGAAATACAACCTGAAGTCACCGGGAACACTTGGTCAGACAGCATCTATGGAGAGAGGAAAGTGAGTTAACATTTCACTTTCCTCTCTCCATAGATGCTACCTAACCTGCTGAGTGTTCCCAGCAACTCTATCTGTCATCACTTGGGCCTTTGCTGATATTACCAGGGTTTAAAGTGGACAAACACACAGGGCTAACAGCTTGTTAAGTGGTCGCTATGTAGGGAGCTCTGTTTGGACACATTTGTTCACACCCTGTGGACTCTATGGTTAGGATCCTGTAATATTCATAGTAAGAGGCACAGATCTTGAGCATTAGCAGTCTGCCTGCTATAAGGTGCTTCCCTATACGACAAATTTGCTTAACATAGGGGCTCTACGGACTGTTGGCCCATTTGTTTTTGCGCTAAGTTGGCCAACTTCCAGGTCATTAGGTCACCATCAATGTCACGTCCCGCTTTCCTGCATATGGGCAAAGCAGGAAATGACAGCAGCAGCAGTCTTATAACCCAAGATTCAGTCATTTTAGGTTCCTGCCCTAAAAGCTACATTACAAACTTGTATGAGGAAGCTTTCTGTGAAGGTTGTTCATGTTGGAGATGGTGTGAAAGAAACTTACTTAGTGTTGTATTTCTTTTTCTCATGTAGTTAAAAAAGGTGATCGAATCGCTCAACTGATCTGTGAGCGTATCTGCTACCCGGAACTTGAAGAGTTAGAGGTAATTAATGTATTGGGCAATCTTGGGGGCGGGAGGACAAGGGGGACAAGTTAGGTGTGAACATTCAATTTATGNTTTTTTTGCAGAACCTGGATGAGACGAATCGTGGTGCCGGTGGTTTTGGGTCGACTGGATCAAACTGAACGCAATGTTGTTACAATCCTTCCTAGTTTACAGCAGCATCACAATGGGTTTAGTTGTCAAGTCCTCAGTGAATATATCATTCATTATCGTTCCAGGCACCATAGTGACTATGTGTCCTGTGGTGTGTAGTGACTGGTGTGTAGCAGATGGTATTATGTGCTGGAATATTCACACATTGTGTTTTTCTAAAATGTTAGTTCACTGAAATAAATACTTTTTTCATTTTTTTCAAGTTTTGTAAAAGTGCTGATCTTGGAGTACTTGGTATCATTTATAATTTAATATAGAAATTAGCAATGAAAAATAATAATTAATCCTTGCATCTGATATAGCGCCTTATGTCGTCAAGACATCTCATACAATGTAAAATTGACTACATTTTGTGGGTGAAACGTGGCAGCCAATTGTAAAATTCACTTTACAGTATATTCTGTGAAGCGCTTTGAGAGGTCTCAAAGATGTGATAATGCGCTAGATCAAATGCAAAGATTATTATTTATTATAATATCAATGGCAAGCTGTGGTTAGACTCCAGCAATTACCCCAAGCACACTGGGGTCCTCAAGACTTGATTCTTGCCAACCTGAACAAAGGATTAGGTGCAGATTGGTAAGAATCCAGGTTTGCCTGGAATTAGATAAAGCAGGATCCGTCCCTCCACGGAGAGAGTGTGCATTCCATTCCAACAATCTATTTCTGTGATTTCCATGTGTAGGTGGGATGCGTGGAATTCTCAGCTTTATTTGGATACTCTTTGGCATCCTCTTGTTCTACTCCCTCTGTGTATTCGAAAGTATTCAAGCACCTTGCCTTGTGATGTCCTTCCAAAGTGAAAGTTGCTATATATAAATGTAAATTTGTATTGTTTTGGGTTTACTCTTTCAGTTCTGTTTACAACAAGAAGATTACATGTGTATAGCGCCTTTCACGTCGGGAGGGCGTCCCAAGGCCCTGAACAGTGACAGCATTTCAGACATGAGCTGGGATTGGGGGGAGGGGAAGTGGGGTGGCCAATGGCATGGTTGAAGAGGAGGGTCTTGAGGCGTGACTTGAAGGAGGCTAAGGAGGCGGAGTGACTGGGGGATGGATTTCTAGGTTGGGGGCAGAGTGGCTGAAGGCTCTCCCGCCAATGGTGGGTGGGTGGGTCGGGGGACGTGGAGCAGGCCGGAGCCGACTGAGTGGAGGGAGCGGGCGGGTTGGTAGGGGGTTAGGCGGTCGCAGAGGTAGGGTGGGGGGAGGCCATGGAGGGCTTTGTAGGTGAGGACCAGGATCTTGAACTGGATCCTCTGAAGGATAGGAAGCCAATGAAGTCGGGCGAGAGTGGGGGAGATGGGATTACGGAGCTTGGTGCGGAAGAGGACATGGGCTGCAGAGTTAATTCTGGATTATCTGCAGCTTGTTGGGAAGGAGTTGAGTTGAGGAGTTGGGAAGCCGAGTTTGCAGTCGAGTCTGGAGGTGATGAAGGCGTGAACAAGAGTTTCAACGGCCTGAGGGGTGAGGTAGTGGCGGAGTCGGACAATGTTACGGAGGTGAGGGAAGGCAGAGCGGGTCATGACTTAGATGTGGGGAAGAAAAGACAGCTGGGGGTCGAACAAGACACCTGGGTTCCTGACTGGCTGGAGTTGCAGTCTGAAACTGTGGAGGTTGATGCTGCCAGTGCCTGAGGTGCAGAGGCGCTGCCGTGAGCCAATCTGTCAGGACAGCAGTGGTCCTGAAGTTGAGGGTTGAGGCAGAAAGATAGAGTTGGATGTCATCTGCATACATATGGAAGGTGACCCTATGTCTGTGGATAATGTCCCCGAGGGGGAGCATGTAGATATTAAAGAGGAGACAAGGACAGAGCCCTGGGGGATGCCAGATGTGACAGTGCGGGTGTGGAGGAGAATCCGTTAGAGGCAACAAAGTGGAGACGGTGAGAGAAATAGGAATCGAACCAGGCAAGGGCAGGTCAGTGAAGATTAAGTAAAGCAGAGAGGTGGTGTATGAAGATGGAGTGGTCGACAGTGTCGAAGGTGGCAGAGAAGTCGAGGAGGACAAGCAGGCAGAGGGAGCCCTGATCACAGATGTTCAGAATGTCATTAGCGACTTTGACCAGGGCTGTTTCCGTGCTGTGGGCAGCGCAGAGCCGGATTGGAGGAGTTCAAAGATGGAATGGTGAGGAAGAAAGGAGCGGAGTTGGGACGCGACGACTTGTTCCAGGACGTTGGAGAGGAATGCAGCGATAGCTGAAGAGAAGGGATGGGTCCAGAGAAGGTTTTTTCAGGATGGGGGTGATGACGGCTGTTTTTAGGGGGGTGGGAACTGGTTGGTGGACAAGGAGAGGTTGATGACGTCAGCCAGGAGAGGGGCCAGAAGGTGGAGCTGGAATGAGGAGAAAGGTGGGGATGCGATCGAGGGAGCAGGTGGTGGATTTGAGTTTGTAGACAGTCGTGGTGAGGGAGGAGAGATGGGGTCGATGGAGTATAGTGGTGGGGTGGGCTGGGGGTGCGTAATGAGGGAGAGGTGATGTAGGGGTGGCGGTGGACAGGGCAGAGGTGGCTGAACGTATCCCCTCGATTTTGGATTTGAGGAAGTCCAGCATCTTCTTACAGTTGGAGTTTGAGGAGAGGATGGGCGAGGCGTGGGAAGGTGGACGGAGGAGATGGTTTGTGGTGGAAAAGAGAAGTTGGGAGTTGTCCTTTGCCTCCAAGATAACTTTGGAGTAGAAGGAGGAATTGGCGGAGGCAAGAGCGCAGCGGTAGGTCTTGTTATGGTGAAGCCAAATCTACCAGTGGACCGTTGGTTTGGATTTGGTCCAGGCACATTTGGCAGCTTGCACTTGTGCCTTGAGGGAACAGAGATGGCTGGTGTATCGGGGGATTTACAGGAGTATGAGGCAGTTTGGGAGGTGAGGGGGGCAAAGGAGTCCAGAATGGAGGAGAGGAAGTTGTGGAGAAAGGAGAGTGAGGAGGGGAGATCAATCAGTGAGGGCCAGAGGTCTAGGAGTTCAAATGACTCCAGGGCAGTGGAGAGGGAGGAAATTTTTTTCTATGGACGGTATGTGATAGTGGAGGGTTGAGAAGGGGGAAGTGGTATGGAGATGTTGAGGGGGATGAAGTGGTGGTCCGGGATGGCTTTATTAATGATGGTGATGTCCGAGACGGTGAGGCCCCGGGTGATCACCAGGTCAAGGAGGTGGCCATGGTACTGGGTGGGGGAGTGGATGAGGAGGGAGAGGTTGAGGGAAGAGAGGAGTGAGGAGAAGTCCACAGAGGTAGAGCAGAAGGGAGTGAAGTGGAGTTTAAAGTCGCCTAAGATTAGGAGGTGTTCCGATCAGAGGGAGAGGGAAGATAGGCGGGTGGAGATATCCGAGAGGAAGGTGGGGGAAGGCTTGGGGGGCGGTAAACAAGGAGGATTTTTAGGGAAAGCCTGGAGTTCAAAGGTGTTCAAAGGAGGCGAAGTTTCTGGAGGAGAAAGGGGAAAGACCGAGGGTGATGAGAGCCACACCAGCGATTTAAGCTATGGGGTTTGGTGGAGTCCTGTAGCTCAGTGGTTAGAGCACTCGCCTTGCAAGCGAGACACTTGGGTTCAATTCCAGGCAGAGGGCGAAACCTTGGGCATGTTTTCTTACTTCACACACCTAATAATAATCCCTCCAAAAAACAAACCAATAATAAATCGGTCATTTTCAATCCACGACTGTGTGTGGGACATTGCTGTGCGCAATTGGCTGCCGCGTTTCGCCCACAAATATACAGTCAATTCACTTTACAGCATATTCTGTGAAGCGCTTTGAGATGTCTAGAGGACGTGAAAAGCGATATATCAAATGCAAGGATTATTATTATTGGTGAAAGGTGTAACCTGGAGGTGTGGCCTCGACTAGTGGGAAGGTGTGGCCAGGTTTCGGTGAGGGCGAGGATGTCGATATTTTCCTCGATGGTGAGGTCATGGATAGTGAGGGACTTGTTGGTTAGCGAGTGGACGTTCTGCAGACCGATGCGGAGGGACAGTTAGTGGTGGGAATGTGGGGGAGATGAGGGGGGGAGGGGCTGGGCCGACGAGTTGGATGGGGATGTGGGTGAGGGCCGATGGGCCTTGCGGTGAGAGTGGGGGAAGGGGCAGTCAGGGTGGGTGCTGTAGGACAGCGATGGCGTCTGCCACAGTGGGCATGATGGAAAATATGAAGGGAGGAGCAGAGGGAGGCTGTGGGGGAGTCAAGGAGGGATAGGAGTCGGGGCAGGCGGAGGGAGAGGAGGGTTGAGCGGGAGTAGTGGAGGGAAGGGGACGGGGTCGGGAACATCTTGGGGAAACAGCTCGGATCAATTGCAGCAGCCAACGTGTGCACTCTGAGACTCGGAGCGAAATGTTAGAAACCTGTGTAAGGTCCCCTCAGACTGTGTCTTCTCACCTGGCTGATCAAAAAAAATAAACAATCAGAATTACACGGAGTAAAGTGATGACAATAAGTTTTGCACAAGAACATAGAAATTGAACCCCTTGAGCCCAGGTATTAATGTACACCACCACAAAATTACATGTGTATGGCGCCTTTCATGTCGTGCCTTCAGATATAAATATTGTTGTAGTGAACCATCATTGCACACCTTCCAAGGCAAATTTATTTTATACTACTTTTCATTTAGACCCCACACAGTTTGGTGTTCCTCGGGTCTCTATTGCTTGGTCCTCTCTTCATATGTATATGCTCCCTCTTGGTGACTTCAAGTCCGCAGACATGGGGTCAACTTCCACACATATGACACCCAACTCTATCTCTGCCTCCACCTTCGACTGCTGCCTGACAGATTGTCGGTCAGACATCAAGTACTGGATGAGACCTAACTTTCTCCAGCTGAACATCAACAAGACCGAGGCCCTCCTAATTGGCTCCCGTCAGCGCCTCCAAACCTCTGCCAACATTGCTCAGCTCCGCCACTGCCTCACCGATCAGGCCGCCGAGACCCTCATCCACTGTTTCATTACATCCTGTCTTGGCTATGCTAACTCCCTGCTTGTTGGCCTTCCCAACTCTTCCCTCCATGAGCTGCAGTTCATCCAGAACTCTGCAGCTCGTGTCCTCTCCCGCACCAGGCTCCGTGACCCTATTGTCCCCACCCTCGCCCAGCTCCCACAGAGGATAGAGTTCAAAATCCTCAATCCCATTTTCAAAGCCCTTCAAGGCCTTGCTCCTCCTCACCTTTGTTCAGTTCAGCTCCAAGGAGACCCCAATTAGGACTAAATTACA